TTCGGGAAATCAAAAACCAAGCGGACTGTGAAGAGCTGCAGAAGGACCCCTGTGGGCTCCAAGAATGGTCGAAGAAATGGCTGCCGAGATTCAATGTCACGAAGTGCAAGAGGATGCACCTGGGGCGTACCAACGGTAAGGAGGCGTATCATATGTCCAAACTGGATGAAGAAACTGCACTAGTTGAGACAATGTGAGAAGGACCTCGGTGTGTATGTTGACAATGAACTGAAGCTATCGGGCCATTGCAAGAAGAAGGTAAATCAGGCAAATAAATTATTGCGTCTTATAAGAAGGTCGTTCAGATATCTAGACGTAACGATCTTCATGAGTAAAGTGCTTCCCCATCTGGAGTACTGTCACCCCGTCTGGTCCCTGAGATATGCTAGGGACTGTCAGTTGGTTGAAAATGTTCAAAGGAGGGCCACCAGACTGGTGCCTGCTCTTCGGCACCTCAGCTACCCTGAGAGATTGGAACACCTGAACTTGCCTAGCTTATACTACAGACGGGTAAGGGGAGGCCTAATTGAGGTGTATAAGCATCTCAAGGGGCACTTCTCAGTCGAGTGTCCTTACTTGGAGCTGGCGGACGCTCGCCCTACAAGGGGTCACAGTTCAAGAATGAAGAAACCGCAAGTCCAGAAAACTGTGAGAGCAAACTTTTTCGGAGTGAGAGTTGTGAACTTTTGGAACAATCTACCAGAAAGTGTTGTGACGGCACCGAGAGTGAGCTCTTTCAAGACCAGACTTGGCCAACACTGGAGCAGGTTCAGATACATTCAGGAGCCGGTGCATGCCCAGTACTTGCCAACAGTGCGTAACAGAGACGTGACCGATCGCCCAAGTGGTTAATGAGCTGATCAGTGGTGAAGAGGATAAAAGTAAAAAAGTAAGTAGAACCAAAGAGATTCATTACAAAAGACATGGCAGACGGTTTCAGGCTTATAGAAGAAGGATTTTTTAAATTTGAACAGCAAGATTCACCAAGACTCATAGAGATATTACTGAATATCTATGATGCTACAGAGATTTCTGATGAAAAGAAGAAAGTTTCAGTTCAACCATCCATTGAAAAGTTTTTTAAGAAAGTCGAAAGGCAGCCAAAGCCAGTTCCATTAACCTTTGCAGCATCTACAGAACCAGTCCCATTAACCTCTGCAGCATCTACAGAACCAGTTCCATTAACCTTTGCAGCATCTACAGAACCAGTCCCATTAACCTCTGCAGCATCTACAGAACAAGTTCCATTAACCTCTGCAGCATCTACAGAACCAGTTCCATTAACCTCTGCAGCATCTACAGAACAAGTTCCATTAACCTCTGCAGCATCTACAGAACAAGTTCCATTAACCTCTGCAGCATCTACAGAACAAGTTCCATTAACCTTTGCAGCATCTACAGAACCAGTCCCATTAACCTCTGCAGCATCTACAGAACCTGTCCCATTAACCTCTGCAGCATCTACAGAACAAGTTCCATTAACCTCTGCAGCATCTACAGAACCAGTTCCATTAACCTCTGCAGCATCTACGGAACCAATTCCATTAATCTCTGCAGCATCTACAGAACCAGTTCCATTAACCTCTGCAGCATCTACAGAACCAGTTCCATTAACCTCTGCAGCATCTACAGAACCAGTTCCATTAACCTCTGCAGCATCTACAGAACCGGTCCATTAATCTCTGCAGCATCTACAGAGACAGTTCCATTAACCTCTGCAGCATCTACAGAGACCAGTTCCATTAACCTCTGCAGCATCTGCAGAACCGGTCCATTAACCTCTGCAGCATCTACAGAACCAGTTCCATTAATCTCTGCAGCATCTACAGAACCAGTCCATT